AAAGTACTTTCCTTTGTAGATTCGAAAGTGATCAAAATTTTTCAAATCTTCGTCTTACGGTAAATTTTTAGGTTAGAAATTGTCGTCTGGTAGGGCTTTTAGATCTAGACCAGTCTCAGACATATGTTCAAGAGAAACTTGTTGGATATCTCAATCACTTCATTGAACTTGGCGTTGCTGGATTCAGGTAAAAGAAAATGCTGTTGTTGAGTGACCATATTCTAACAGAAATAAAGATTTTCGGCAAGAAAACTGGAAACAAAAAACTTTAAGGTAGATTTAGGTAAATTATTCTTTCTATCCTATACACGACTGAGTTTTCAGGCTCGATGCTTCAAAACACATGTGGCCAGACCAACTAAAAGTGATTATTGATAAGGTTGACAACTTACGAAGCGATGTATGTTTTTGCTTATAAAAGTCCTTCAATTGGCTATTGCTGTATATCACTTACCTTAAGTTAAACCATGAACAATTTTAAAAGCTTTAGACTCAAATAATACCGGAATAAAGATCAAAGCATAAATGTGCTTATGGTCTAGTTTTAAAAACATTAAAACTGCCTATAAATAAACCAATTTTACACTCGACCTCATTCTCAGTCTATTATATTATCTTGACTTTTCAAAAAACAAGTAATCCCAAATGAATACTTTCGTACAGATTTTCGGCAACAATCAGCGACCAATGTTCATCCACGAAGTAACTGATCGAAGTGGCACTGAGTCTGTAAAGTGCAGTGAGTTCACAGGCATTGGAAGGTACACGGATTTCAGCTACGGCATGATTGTTTCGTACGCAGCCAAGAGACAAAACAAGGGCTTTGGGTATGTGTTCCCTAAAACTAACTGTGGAATTTTAATATAAATTTTAAAAAAATGATAAATGATCATAAAACGTTTACTCCACTAGGAACTTAAACAGGAAATAAAAACTTGTAAAGTGATGAAACCACCACGAAAAGCTGCTGAGGGTCTAACTTCATATGATGAAAAACCTCAAAAATACTTCACTAATTTCACTGTTAGGGATCTGAGATGGTGGGGTCCTGGATATGGCTATGGCAACTTGGCTGATACAGATGTGCTTGCCTTTATTGATAACCACGATGATCAAAGAGACGGCACACCGGTTGTAACCTACAAGAACGGAGATCAGTACGCAATGAGTGTCGGATTCATGCTTGGCTGGGGTTATGGATTCCCACGAGTAATGAGCAGCTACTACTTCTCGTACAGTGACCAAGGACCACCAAGCTATGGCCAATCTTCTGGATTTGCTGTATTTATTTTTTCTTAAAACTGAGACTTAAAGACAAAAAGCACAGTCAATTTATTGAACAATTTCAAATTATTTTCAAAATAAAACAAGCGATTTGGATAATTAGAAAAAGACTTATTTTCTCACTGATAAATTGTAAAAACCAAAATGCTAAAATATTCTTTTGAATGATGTTCTCGTATATAAGAGTTTTCGACACCTATCAACTTCAGCAAACCAACTGTTAGTATACTATTTCCTAGGGCAAGGGAAGTGATATATTGAAACTGGTAGCTGTCGTCCAGTATAACAAAAAGAAATTAAAAAACGTAATGAAATTTAAAAAAATAAAATTTTCTTTCAGACAAAAAGTCAAGAGTTTAATTCTGATAAAACGTGCACACGAAGTTCCGGGTGGGTTTGCGAACACCGTTGGTATGCAATTCGAGGTATGGCAAGATTTATGTCGGAGGCTGGAGAAGCTCCCATAGATGCTGTAGTCTCTGAAAACAATCGTCTAGCATTCGCTCGTTCTGGGAAGGGATTCTTTGCCTTAAATAATGGCAATGGCATCTGGTCTCTGTACGATTTTACTACGTTCTAGTTACTGCATAATTTTTTTAAAAATTTCTTGAACATGGTACCTTATTTGTCCCTAAGTAATGCCAAAAAATTAAGTTACAAGCGTTCAACTTTTACTGATCTACCTTTGTAAGTCTCAATAAATTCGTATAGTTACAATTCTGACTAAAACTACTTTTTTTCCAGAAACACCGCGACCACTCTTCCAGCTGGCACCTATTGTGATGTTTGGACTGGAGAACTACAAAACGGAGCTTGCACCGGTACCAGCGTTACCGTCGGTAGTGATGGTAATGCTTTAATAGTTGATCATCAATTTCTTTAGCGAATTCTCATATGCAGTACTGAATAAAACAACTTTAAACTAATCTTTCAGGAAAAGCGCAGTTCAACGTACCGCAAGGACAATTCATGGCTATTCATACCGGATGGAAGATCTAAAAAATTTTCAAAACAACGAAAAAAAGAACAAAAACTGTTTTTGTACACTGACCAATAAAAAGAGACCAAAAAATAAAAATTTATCATCAACCGTTTAATGACACCATAATTTTCACAGCCGAATTTTCGATAGCAACTAAATTGTCAAAAGCATTTTCTTTTTTCACTGTTGGACAAAGCTAAAATATCTGTAATATATTTTTAATGTATCACAACTCATGAAAATTGTATAGATAAAGAAATGTTACAAAAAAACTGAAACTATAATGACTGAAATCAGAAACTGTGATTTAAATTCTAAAATTATTTAAATGCAACAGTTTTTTGCATTCCCTTTACAACTAAATAAATTTTTCCGTATTAAATGACATCGACTGTTTCAATACACTGCAGCTAAGCTTCCTTTACCCTTTGTGTTTCTAATGTATTTATAATTCGTGTTAAACCACATCCAAATCACAACAATTCATACACTCTTCAGCTTTTCAAAGCTACAAAAATTTTATCATTTACAGAGAACTACAACTGAAGTTATTTTCATTAAAGAACTGTTCCAAAATTAAAAAATTTATTTTATATTTAA